CTCCTCCTCCCCCTCCTCCTCAAAAAAAGAAAGTAAAAAAAACTAATCAAAATTGCACTTGTCATTATATGAGTATTTGATGCCCATGCATTCTCCAGATTATTTTAATGTAGAATAATAGTCAGAACTTCTGGGAATTATTTTCATCTTTAAAATATAGTGCTTGGTATTTTGCATGGGTAGGATTTGAGAAATATGCTGTTATGCACTTCCTTTGTTTTACTGATGAAAAGGGCTGATAATGCATAATTATAGCATAATAAATACTTAAGTAGACCCTTATAATTATGACTGGGTGCAAATGTCAAGTCCAGGCTTTCCTATGATTGAGTTCTGATACCTGAAGCAGAACAGGATAAGAACAATGATTGACTAGAATTTATTGATATTATCATATTCAAAATCAGGTATCTAGTTATCAGAGAGAAATTGGACAAATTCGGTTGAATTTCAGCATATTTGTATTATTGAGTACTTTTAAGTAACTTAAAAATCAAATTATTTTTCCTTATGCAATGAGATAGAATGCAGATTCTTATAAATTTCTTAACTGCTGACAAAAAAAAGTAGGCTTTGATTAAAGGGTATCAATATACCATTTCTGGTGAATTTTATGTGTTATTTTGGTAGCTTTTTCTGTTGTAGCAAATATTTGACAAAAGGAACAATTTAAATGAAAATTTTATTTAGCTAAGACTGAAGAATCTGTTTCCTTTATTTGAAAACATTATTTTGCTGGTATATATTTCCAAAGTGGAGGCATGTATTTCAAATATACAGTAAAACAAACCTTTGATTTGAGGCCAGTGGCTACAGGGCTGGTGTTTTCTGAGATGTTGCCTCGGGCCTTACATCTCTTTTTTCTATACTTTACAAATTCCCTATGATCTACCTTTTTAGTTATTGCAGTATTGGTACATTTGAGATTTAGCAAAAAACATAGAAAAATAGTAGGTAGACCCAAACTCTTCAAAACTGTTTCCTTAAAAATGTACCCATACAGTTATTGTGTGTTTATATTGGAGGCTGCTGGGTGCTAATTTTTAGTAATCTGTTGAATTTTTAGAATTGCATGTCACTTCACACACATTAGATGCAGTTTTTATCTATAAAACCAAAGAAAATACATTTCATTTCCATTTCATGCAGTTTTAGTTTTTCTTTTTTTAATTCAATAGGCAACATTTCATATGAATTTTAATCTTTTCTTTTAGGCCAAGTTATGATTGACAAAAATCCAGGAATCACCTCAGCAGTAAATAAAATCAACCATATAGATAACACTTACCGAAATTTCCAAATGGAAGTGCTATATGGAGAGGAGAACATGATGACCAAGGTATTTTTGTCTTAGTGTCGTGTTATATAAAATTTAATGTTTAGAATGAGAGATGACAAAAATTAAAATATTTTTAATACCCAGTATGAGTATGAGAATGCGAGCATTTCCATGTACTATTGATGGGAGTCCAAATTTGATACATTCAGGACAAGTGTATGATAATACACAGGGTGGGGCAAAAGTAGTAATACCCAGTATGAGTATGTGAGAATGTGAGCATTTCCATATACTATTGATGGGAGTCCAAATTTGATACATTCAAGACAAGTGTATGATAATACACAGGGTGGGGCAAAAGTAGGATTATAGTTGTTTATACGGAAAATAATACAGTAATTAATAAATAAAAATACAAGAATAAACTGTGCTTCATATAATCACAATTAAAAACCTACTTTTGCCTCACCCTGTATAACAATTTTGAATAGGTATGTCTTTTGACCTAGCATTCCATTTATAGGAAGTTATCCCAAGGGTGTAAGTAAACAAAATTATAATG